ACTCACTATTTGAAAACATGGATTTCTAAAATATAAAAAGTAAAAAATCCCCTCTAATCGTACTCCTTAGAGATAACCACTATTAATACCTATCATATGTTCTTCCAGTTTTTTTAAGAAACTAGTGCTTGTGTTGAAAACTAGTGCTTTTATTTTATTTATTTATTTATCTATTTATTTATTGTACCAGGGATTGAACTTGGGTCCTTGGGCTTGCAAGGCAGGCCACCAAACCACGGAGCTAAATCCCCAGCCCCTTGTTTTCACTTTTTGAAACAGGGTCTCACTTTGTAGCTCAGGCTGACGTAGAACTCACTATATAGTCCAGGCTGGCCTTGAACTTGCTGTGATCCTCCTGCCTTGGCCTCCCAAGTGCTGGGATTACAGTCATACACCACCATACTTGGTTTAAAAAAAAACAAACTAGTATTTTAAAATTATATAATATACATACTGTTTTGCAACTTGCATTTTCACTTAGTTTATCTCTTTAATGGTTGCACTGTATTCTACTGTATAAACACATAATGATTTTTTTTGATTTAACAAATCTTTGAACTTGCAAACATATATACCAACTTATTTTCTTTAAAATAAATTCAGAACCATGCAGAATGGTGCATGCCAGTGATCCCAGCACTCAGGATGCTGCAGCAGGAGGGCTGTAGTAAGTTTGAGGCCAGCCTGGGCTATACAGTGAGTTCATGGTCAGCTTGAGCTACATAGTGAGAACCTGTTTCAAAAAACCAAAATAAAATAAGTTGAAAAACATTTACAAATTTTACAAACATGATACTTTTAAAAATAATGCTACATTACCCTATTTAATAATAGTATTAGTTTGATTTCAGAACATTGAATATTATTTTTGAAAAGTAAATGCAATTTTAATAATACAAGAATTAGAAAAAATTAAAAATTTTTATTGTTAAATTGCATTTCTTTAGTTCTATATGACAATGACCATCTTTTATGCTAAAAGGCACTTATAGATCTATATACTGTCTACTTATACTATTAAATTAAGGTATGATGTTATTTCAAATACATTCATGTCTTTCACTGATAAGTCTTAAAAAATAAGACGCCATCAAATTTTTAAAAATTATTCTATTTATCATTCTTCATTTTAAGATAAGCAAGCACTCTAACACTAAGGTCTGCCCCTAGCCCTTTCTTTTTTTGACATGGGATCTTATTAAATTGCCCAGGCTGGCCTTGAACTTGTGATCCTCCCAAGAGGCTGAGATTATAGGCTACACTACCACATCTGGCTAGATTTTATTTTTAGTTACTACATTAAGGCTTGTTAGTTAAGTAAGACAACGTAACAATGTTTAATTTTCTTTGTTCTCTCTCATCCAGGAGTAACTTTTAATAATCCTGTGTGTATTCTTCTATACTAACATACACAGGATGTTTTGTGTTTGTTCCAAAAATATCATTATACCTTATTTTTGGGAATAATGACTTTGTATTTTTTTCATTAAATCTCTAGCCATTTACATATAGTTCTAATCCATTCTTTTTCACAGCAACTTCCAGAGTATGAATGCCCAAATCTATTAAACTATATCCTTACTGGATATACATGTTCAGTATTTATTAGCAAGATTTCTGCCTTGAAATTCTAGAGACTAGTGTGCCAAAGTCAAAGGGCAGATACATGTACTTTTAATTTTAATATATATTACAAGATGACTTCCTATGCCTCACTACCAGCAAGCAGAAACTGAATGCCTATTTCTCCATCTTTTATGTGTGTGTGTGTGTGTGTATTTTTTTTTTTTAATCTCACTACCAGCAAGCAGAAACTGAATGCCTATTTCTCCATCTTTTATGTGTGTGTGTGTGTGTATTTTTTTTTTTAATTTTTTTTGTACCGGGGATTGAACTTGGGTCCTTGTGCTTGCAAGGCAGGCCACCAAACCACTGAGCTAAATCCCCGGCCCTATTTCTCCATCTTTTTATAAATTGACAAGTGAAAAATAGTGTATTTTGTGTGTGTGTGTGTGTGTGTGTGTGTGTGTGTGTGTATCATACTGGGGGTTTGAACCAGGGCCATGATGCTGAGCTACATCCTTAGCCCCCCCGCAGCCTTTTTCATTTTGAGATAAGGTCTCACGTTTTCTTGCCTCAGCCTCCCACAGTCCTGGAATTACAAGAGTGGAGTAGTGAGTTGCCTGGTAGTTCCTTTAGAAATGGCTTGCCAATTAAAAGTATTTCAGGGGCCGGGGATTTAGCTCAGCGGATCGGTGGCCTGCCTTGCAAGTGCAAGGACCCGAGTTCAATCCCTGGTACAAAAAAAAAAAAAAAAAGTATTTCAGGTTCTTCCTCAAACAAAGAATTGGACAAGCCAAAAACAGTGCCAAAAAAGTTTATTTGAAATATGAGGGGTGAAGGGGTAAGGGGAAAAACTGGCTCTGCAGAGCAAACTTGGGCTGAACAAAAGGATAAAAGCAAACATAAAAGTACACCCTGGTGTAGAAGACAGAGTGGGATATCCCAAACAGTTACAATAGCTGGCTCCTCCTGGCATCTGTGTCATTGAGTAAAGTCCACATCTCCTAGGAACCCAGAGTTCTACATATGGGCTTTCTGGGAATTATTTGGTGTTGCCCTGGGATCATACACTTGACAGGTCCTGCTCATTTACCCAGCCAGCTTTGCATGGTATGCCTCTTGTATGAGTTGTCCTCTTTTAAAGTGAAAATATTGACTAGGGTAGTAGTATGACTAAGCATCTTCTCAGATGCTGATTTAGTTTTCCTCATCCCTGAAATGGTTGTTTATAGCATTTGCCTTTGCTTTTTGTCAGTTGGCAGGGGCTCATTTCCTGTTAGGAAAGTCTGGTTTATCTTTTACAATTATTTTGCAGTCTATTCATTTGACTTTGTTAATAGCATTAATTTAAAAAAAATATATATATAGCCACAGTCAGGCAAAGATGATATAACACAAGTGCAGTGATGGGGATTTGACAGCGAAAGAATGGATAGGCTGGTTACCATTCAGCAGGCACACTGAAAACCCATAAAATAGAAGTGACAGTAAATTACCATTGTTTCCTATGTATTTCAGTGCAGAGACTAGGTGGAGGGGAGACCAGGCTGCAGGAGCAGAGAGAGGAGGGCTTTGAGCATACCAAATCCATTAGTATTAAATATGGAGCTACTCATATACACTGGCAGGAGAAAAAGTAGCAGGCCTATATTTTACTTGTATTTTACTTTCCTGTTGTGCCTCAACTTTAAACTTTCTGTACTCTCTAGTGTTTATTAAGTTGCATTTTTGTATGTAGAGTTAAGGACAACGATCTTTTCCCTCCAGAATATACACCTTTAGTGGTAGCACCACTTATTTCCCAAAAAGTTGAAATTCTATCCTTTGAGGTCCACATATATTCAATTTTTGCATCTATAATTATTTTATATTGTTCCGTTTGTTTATTCATAGTTCAAAACACACTGCTTTCAGTAAAGGGTTTTTAGTAAGTGTTGCTATCTGGAAAGGGGAGGTCTTTTTCACTTTCGTGTGTTCGCGACACAATTGTCATACTTTATATTTTAAACCATGGTTAACTGAGTTAGCTATATTAGTGTCAAGAAAAAGCATTAGTTTTTATTTTTACTTATGTCATCCTGCTAGAGGCTGTTGTCACACAGAGGATAAGGCAAACCTGCCTAAATGTTGTTCCGACTCCAGTGTTTCACTGGGAACTAACCGAATATGAAAACAAGAAGAAAAGTTGTCCAACCTCTTCTAGAAAGGCTGAAATCAAGAATGGAGACAGTCCGAGGAGTTAGGACTAAGATTTTCTATGAAAGAAGGTAGGAGATACCTCAAAGAGCTAGGTCTAGAGGTTCCATTTGACCCAGCCATCCCTCCACTGGGTATCTTTCCAAAAGATTTAAAAGAATCATACCACAGAGATATATGCACACCAATTTTTATAGCGGCACAGTTTGTAACAGCTAAAACTTGGAAACAGCCCATCTGCCCATCTGTTGGAAACTGGATAAAGAAGATGTGGTTTTTCTATAAAATGGAATACTACTCAGCCATAAAGAATGAGAAACTAGAGTCTTCATAGGAAAATGGATACATATTGAGGATATACTCTTAAGTAAAATAAATAAGTCACACATGTGTAAATACCAAATAGTTTCTCTGGTGTGAAGAACTATAATAGTACACAAGATCCTAATGGGATAATTAGGAGTGTGAAATAGGAAGAAAAGGGCTAAAGGTGTAGGGAAAGTGGGAAGGGTAGTAGGGGAAAGGAAATAAGGGAAAAGAAAAAATACGAGAAAATGTAAAAATGGAAATAAAGAGTTTGTAAATGGGGAGGGGAGAAGGGGGTGAAGGGAGGACAGGGACAAGGGGAAAAAATGAGAACCAAGAACTGTCATGTGAAGGTACAGAATCCCATTAATGAATGTAACTGTATTGTAGACCTAGATTGTACCAATAAATTCAATTTTAAAAAATTGTTCAAAGCAAAAAAAAAAAAGAAAGAAAGAAAGAAGGTAGGTTCAGACAGCAGTTATTAATTGGTATAGCTTTGCCCTCCGCTCTGCACTGCTGCGAACTAAAGCAACGTAGCCAGACAACTAGCAACCGGCGGCTTCCGGTAAGGACCACACCCACACCGCCCACACACTACCTGCACTACACGGGAGGCGGAGACCGATCTCTCTCGGATTCGCGCCGACCTTCCGGTCTGGAAAGAAGCCCATTTCCGGTAGCTCCTAAAACCTTCTCCGACCCCGATCGCCACCTCCTGGTGATCTTCTATTGGCTGTTTGAAACCGAACTACATTTCCCAGAGAGACCTGGAGCCAGACTGACCGTACTTGGGAGTACTGCCAAAAAGGGTGTCAACTTTCTGCTCTCCGATTCCAAGGCAGAGGGATAGAGAAAGTGGCTTTCATCCGCCTGGTCTGCCTTGGCCTGAGAGTCCCGCCGGCAACCTCGACCTTCGCCTTTGCCAGGACATAAATTGCTCTCAGAGCGGGGAGTCCAGGTTTTCACGCCGGAAATGAGTCACCGGGCACCGGGCGTGACGCCACAGAAACGGAGACGTCCGGCCTCCCAGAATGCATCGCTCCGCGCGTCCTCCCAACTCAAGACAGTGCTTTCCAATACTCTCCCGCGGCCAGTGAGGCCATTCCGAAGGGTGAGGTGAGCGTCTGGCCTCTTGTCCCTGGTTTTCTGGTTTCTTCCGGAGCTCAGGCCTCTGAGCCGTTCTCAGGCGGAGAGACTCCGCGAGGTGAGAGGCTCTGAAGGGGCGGGAGCCAGGCTGAGGCAGCTTCTGAGACGCGGAGTGTGTGCTCTGTTGCTGGGGAGCCAAGCTGGATAGGGAGTCGGGTGTGCAACCCAGGCAGTGCCGGCGGTTGAGCTTTGCCCTTTGGCCTGTGGGAGAAGCCCCAGAGTGGGACTGGCACGGTGGGCCCAAGTATGATGTCCCTTGCCGCTTTCAGTAGGACATTGACGGGAGGGAGAAGTCAGCAAGGCTTGTGTGGACACCTCAAGTGACCTTGGGTGTGCTCCGTTGGAAAGGCATCAATCGCTCCGGCTCCCTAAGGGCACCTGAGGAGGAACTGCAGTGCGAGGGGCTCAGTACAGCCCAATTTCAGCGATTAGCTTGCCTCTTTGTAGACACCCTCAGGATTTGACCTCATCTTTCCGGTCTCCTAAGCACGAGTTAAACTTATTTTCCCAGTGTATATTGCACTTTATATTTCCCGGGAAGATGGCCTTTAGCCTTCTGCTGGCCACCTTTGTTCCCTTCTTTTTATCTGTTGAGCTTAGTTTTCATTCTTAGTGTCTTCTTTTCAAGCCTTCCAAAAGTGTTCTGAAATTTTTCATTTCAGTTTTGACTTCTCTATCCCAGCTCTTTCTGGTTTAGAGTTCATATGGCTTCATAACTCACAACCCAACTTCAGTATATAGTGAAGTCATGCGCCTGCCTTGTCTTGTGGCTAATCAGTGGTTTCTCTATCTGCAGCTTGGCTATCTGGCAGATTTCCTTCAGTAAGAGGTGGCTCTAGCAACCTCCAGGAAAAGAGCCTGGTGTTTTGTTGTGAGGCATGATGGCTACAAAAGTGGTTCCTATATCCCAAAAGCCAAAGCAATCTTTTGTTCTGAGAGTTCCTCCAGACTCCAAGCTGGGCCAAGACCTCCTTCGAGATGCCACTAATGGGCCCAAAACCATCCACCAGCTGGTGCTAGAACACTTCCTTTCCTTCTTGCCCAAGGCAAACCTGGGCCAGCCCAATCAGAAAGTCAAGAAGACCTTGGTTGTTATGAAGGATATGAGTTCAAGCTTTCAGAACAGAGGTAAGAAACGTGCTTATTTCACTGGAAGAGAAGGGAGTGGTACTGGACACTTAAGATAAACTTTCGTGTTAGTCATGGATTAAAGTTAGGGTGGTGAGTACTGAAAAGTCAATTTTAATATGTTAAGGTGTTACTTTATTCGCAAGCTGGAGTTTATGTGGTATGCCAGATATGTATATATCTGTATGAAATGTGCATCGTTTTGTATTGTCCTTTTTACCCAAACATTCTGGAGGGAAATATCTTTTTAAAGAATATAGACATCAAGTGATTATTATATTGTCTATAATTTATATGGGATTTTGGAAATTTTATGCCTTTTGGGGTTTTTATGCTTTACCTTTCTCCAAGTTCCTATGTAGTGATTGTTAGAAATTTTGACAGGTGCTTATGGGAATTTTTTTCATACTGAGGAGGTCCTATATAGATTCAACACCCTGGGCTTGTGGCTTGACCTCTGTCAGGGCTCATAGGAGCAGAAAGAGTTGTGAATTGCTGAAGAAGCAAGGGTAGCTTGGCCTGAAGGTTTGGGCTGTGTCTGTATTAGAGTCACTGAGTTTTTCACTAACTATAGCTTCCTTTTTCCCCAGTTCAACCTTGTCCTTTAGTGAAGCTTCAGCCCAGAGAAGGAGTCCAGCAGAAACAGGAGACAGTATCTCTGTGTTTTAAAGCTGACTGTGAGGTAGGTTTGGTTTTTCACTCACTAAGTGCATCACCTTCTCTGTTCTTGAAACCTTCCCTTCTAGGTCAACCTGTGTGTAACACATTCTTAGAAATCACCCTCCTAGGACATTTCTCCTCTTTCTTCTGGCTGCTCTTAGCCTGGCTGTCTTGTCTATGTTGCTTCTGTGTGGACCTTTTAGAGATGCATTTCATCATCCTTTTCCTTGATCTTTTCTTACTGTCAAGAAGCCTTATTTACTGAGAGGAAGAGAGTCTCTTGTTCTTTCAGGAGCTGGTGATCTTTGAGGATTTGAATGTATTTCACTCCCAAGAAGAATGTGTGAGCATGGATCCTGCTCAGCAACCCCCCTCAGAGAAGGAAGATAACAGTGATGTTGGGAAGATGATGTTACTGGGTAAGAAATGAAGTGCTTTGTGTGTTCGGTCTGTTTGCTATACCAAAAGTGTGTCCTTCATTTCTGGGGCTTCTTCATCACTTCACTCCTACCAAAGCACAAGGGCACATTTTATTTTTTATTTATTTTTTGGTACTGGGGATCGAACTTGGGTCCTTGCGCTTGCAAGGCAGGCGGTGGAACCATTGAGCTAAATTCCCAGCCCCACATTGTGTTTTTGGTTAATCTTACGTGGCAGAGACTAGCTACAGAGTTCCAGATGTAGTTAGTTAGTCACTCTTTCCTCAAGTCAGGGAAGAGGAGACTTCTTTGGTAATTGAGACTTGCAAACAGATGGAAAATGTGGGCAGACTGTTTCTGAACTCTTTCCTGGAAGTTGTTCTCTCAACAGATACATTTTGAGTTAGTATTTTAATGTTTTCATTAGACTCCTATATTGCCTGTTTGTTTTTTGGGTTTTTTTTTTTTTAATGTTCAGTAGGGGTGACTACTATTAGTGTAAATGAAAGCATATTCCACTTTTGATGAAAATAACATGTGTATATGTTTTTGGTTTGGGTTTTTTTTTTCTTTTTCTTTTTCTTTTTTTTTGTTGGTTTTTGCTTTTTTTCTGATACTGGGGATCAAACTCAGGACCTTGAGCTTGCGGTGCAGTGCTGTGCCACTGAGCTAAATCCCCAGCCCTTTGTTTTGTTTTGTTTTGTTTTGAGGCAGGGTCTTATTGCATAGTTTAGGCTGTCCTTGAACTTACTATGTAGTCTAGGCTGCCTTTGAGCTTGCAGTGATCCTCCTGCATCAGCCTCTCAGTTGCTGAGATTATAGGAATGGGACACCATGTCTGGCTGATGAAAATAATGTCTTAACATTTACTAAGCGTTTAGATTTTTTTGTTGTTTTTTGAGGCAGGGTCTCACTCTGTAGTTGAGACTGACCTGGAACTCACTATGTAGTCCAGGCTGGTCTCAACTCAGTGATCCTCCTGCCTCAGCCTCCCAAGTGCTGGGATTACAGGCATGCATCACCATGCCCGAGTCTTAAGCATGTAGATATTATCTGTATGTATGCTAGTATCTCAATTACTTTTCTCTTGTTTCTAAGACAAAATAACCGATGCCCAAATTTAAAGGGGGAAGAATTTATTTAGCTCACAGTTTGTAGAGATTTCTGTCCATAATTGGCCGACTCCAAGGCAGGGTGGCTTGGCAGAGGGACATCACAGAGAACCAGTTCATGGCAAGCAGAAGATAGCAAAAGCAAGCAAGCAAGGGACTTCTAACAGCATTTTTTTGCCCCTTTTATCTTATCCAGGCTACTTAGGGCAGGTAGCACTCACACTTTTAATCCTAGTGCCCATGAGTCTAGTATTGCACCATGAGTCAATTCCAGTTTCACATACTCTAGATCTAGCCACTTCTGAAAAAGCTCCACTATGATCGCATGAGGCTTTGGGAAGATATCTAAATACAAGCCATAACAGACACTGATACACACATACATGTAAACATGCATGCATGCATGCATTTATTCATTATATTTGAGAGGGTCTTGCTATGCGATTCAGGCTGAGCTTGAACTCATTATGTAGTCCTGGGCTGGCCTCAAACTCCTGAGTGCTGGGATTATAAGCGTGTGCCACCGCACCTGGCATTTATTTATTTTTTTAATTTTTGGTACCAGGGATTGAACTCAGGACCTTGCGCTTTCAAGACAGGTATGGTGCCACCGAGCTAAATATTTTATGTGCTTCTCACAATAGTACTGTAGCGTACAGCTATAGAATGCTTATCTATATTGTATTGTGTGGTGCAGATGGTGATGTATAATAGGCCTACTTCATTTCCCACAGTATGCTCTATGAAACATTTTATTTATTGTGGAGAAAAGTATTAAAAGATCTGATTTATTACACTGGGTTTTTCCTGAGTTTCAAACAAAGCTAGCATTTATTTTTGGATTATTCATTGCCATATATTTGCTTATTCCAGGAATAATTTAGTTTCTTTGGGACCCTAAAACCAAGTCCTCGCCCTTCCCTCTTCCTACCATGAAGCTGATGGCTTAAGCTTGCAGTCAATGAAAACATTTCATAAATGCCACTAGTTTTTTCCTCAGGCAAGATTGAGTTGTTATTCAGCAGGTTCCAAAGATAAATAATACCCTATTCCTTCCTTCCACAGTGCTCCAATTTGATTTGATGTACAAGCCAATCACTTAAAATGATAAGTAGTGTGAAATTTTTATAAGTATACAAGCACAAGGTTGAGGCAGGATTTGAATCCTAGAGCCTAGTTTAGAAGAAGATACATTTGATTTTAGATTAGATTGAATTTTTGGTAGGAAATAAAATGAGATTGTCCTCAGGTTCTATGGAAATTGAGTATTTGAGCACAGATAGAAGGATATAGAGATTTGGGAGTCAGCATTGTTCTATTTATCCAGTCTTCAAAAGGAAAAGTATAAAGGATTGAACCTCCTGGGGACTCCTTAACATAGGAAAACTATTTCAGTGCAATTGAAGCACATAAAAAGACTACTTAAACAGATTCTCAATAAGATATTTCTTATAATCCTATCTGATCTCTACTGTAATATGAGAATACACTTTTTATGAAAATTGACTACTGTGCAACAAAGACTTTTCTACAAAAAGAAATTTGTTAGGATTTATCTCAATGTAGGACAATTTGCAACTAGAAAATAAGTAATGAAATCAGAAAATAAAAGTTCCTTCCACCTAGAATTCTAAAACTGTTAAGCAGTTGTGGGCTGTTTGTAGTACATTCATTTACGGTCATTTTGGACAATCGATCCATGTACTTAATACAAGTTGTTTCTTTTTTTAAATCCTCTTCTCTCCCCACCCTCCTCTAATTTCCCTTTTCCCATTTTCATTCTTGTTGATACTATTAATCTTAGCTAATGTTTATGGCATGTAATATTATATTCGTTGAGGTTATTAGGTTCTTATACAGGGCATATCTCTCTTCTCCTTATTTCCCCTTCCCCACCCCTTCATCCCTCATCCTTGATCTTAGGGCTTGCCTGAACTATAAAGTGAGACCCTGTCTCAAAAAAAACAACAACAACAACAAAAAAGATAATTTGAGTTTTTCCTTTTCTATATATTCTTTGTTATTTCTCTTGCCTGATTGCTCTGGATATTGAATAGAAGTGCTGATAGTGGGTATCCCTTCTTCTTTTTCCTGATTTTAGAGGGAATGCTTTTAGTTTTTCCCTATTTAACATGATGTTGGTTTGTCATAAAGAGTATTTATGTTGTTGTTTTTGTTTTTTGGTACCAGGGATTGAACTTTGGACTTTGCACTTGCTAGGCAGACAGCAGAACCACTGAGCTAAATCCCTGGCCCTGTCATAGTTTTTGTCGAATTTAGTTATGGTCTTTCTATACCTATTTTCTTCAGGGCTCTTATCATGAAGGGGTGTTGGATTTTGTCATAAGCCTTTGCCTCATCTATTGATATGATCTGTAATACTTATATGATCATTTTGACCTTCTGTTTATGTGATGTATTACATGTATTGATTTACATATGTTGAACTATCCTTACATCTTTGGGATGAAAACTACTTTACCATGGGTGTATGATTTTTTTTTTTGGTACCGGGGATTGACCTCAGGTCCTTGCACTTGCAAGGCAGGTGGCAGAACCACTGATCTAAATCCCTGGCCCTTGGTGTATGATCTTTTTGATAATGTGCTGCATTTTATTTGCTAATATCTTATTATTGAGGATTTTTGCATCTATGTTCATTATGAAGATTGGCCTATAGTTTGCTTTTTTTAGTTGGGTCTTTATCTGGTTTTGGAATCAGGATGATTCTATAAATGAATTTGGGAACACTGAGTCCCAGTCCTTTTCCATTTCTTTGAGTATTGGTGATAAAAACATCATTATAAGTTTTGTATAATTCAGCATTAGGTCCTGGCCTTTTTTAATTGGTAGATTCTTTATTACTATCACTGTTTCATTGCCTATTAATGGGTTGTTAAGCATTTTTGTGTCTTCTTGTTAGCTTTGGTAATTTGTATGAATCTAGGAATCTGAATTTGCCAATTTGTGTGAATACGATTTTTCAAAGTAATTACTATCTTCTGGATTTCATCTGTTGTGATATTTGCCTTTTCCTTTCTAATTTCATTGATATAAGTCTTTTCTTTTTCTTGGTAAGTCTGTCTAAGAGCTTACCAATTTTATTTATTCTTTCAAAGAGCCAGCTCTTCAGTTGATTGATTTTGTGGTGTGTGTGGTTTTTTTTTTTTTCTTTTTCTTTTTCTTTTTTTTGTTCTTGATTTCACAGATTTCTTCCCTAATCTTTGTCATTTTCCTCCTTAATTTCAGTTTGGTCCTGGCTTCTTGTTTCTCAAGTATCTTAAGATTCTTCATAAGGTTATTTGAGCATGCTCTGTTTTCTATTGATTGCAATTAATTTTCCTCTTACGAGTGCTTCCATAGCATCTCAGACACTATGTACAGGCATTATCATTAACTTCCAGAATTTTTTTTTTTTTGTTTTTTGTTTTTTTGAGACAAGGTCTCACTATGAAGTTGAGACTGACCTGGAACTCACGGTGTAGTCCAGGCTGGTCTTGAACTCACAGCGATCTTCCTCCCTCAGCCTCCTGAGTGCTGGAATTATAGGCATGCGCCACCACGTCCGGCTAACTTCCAGAAATTTAAAAATTTCTTCTGTGACTCATTGGTTGTTTAAAAGTGTGTTACTAATTTTCCAGGTGCTTCTACCTTTTCTATGACTTCTTCATTTCTGTTTTCATTGCACAGTGGTAGTACACATAGGGTAATTTTGATACTTTTATATTTATTTAAGGAGCTTTGTGAACTAGTATGTGATCTATTTTGCAAAAAGTATCATGTGCTACAGAAAATAATGCATACTTATTATAGTGAAGAGGAATATTCTTTAGATATCTTAAGTCTCTATGTTCAAGGGTGTGGTTCAGCTATAATACTTATTTACTC